ACCTTTTCTCTAATAATAATAATAACGTCCAGAAAAGGTAAGGACTTATTCTCTTCCATTTCCATCGTGAACCCAATCTTCCATTCACGGTGTTTGAGTGAAAATAGGGAACTATCTAAACTGTCCTTAACATTAGACCAGCTGACTAAATAGTCATCCATGTATCTAATCGACAATTTGGGGGTTAGTATTGCCTCTTGCAGGAAGTGTTCCTCCAATTTTGCCATATAATTTTCGCTAAGATGGAAGACAGGCAAGATTCCATCGCTAATCCTTGCGTTTGTTCGTATAACTTACCATCAAAGGTAAAATATGTGGTACTCATGCATAGATTTATAAAGTCTAATAATGGAAGCTACACTTAACCTTATTCCTTGTGTTATCTCTGGATATTACTCTAGAGTTTTTATCAGAACTTGAATAGCTCCTTCTACAGGAATGTTTGTATACATAGACACAACATCAAGGCTTACTAGCTTATCCTTTTTTTGAAATTGTCTGCTGATCTAGCAATTTCACAAAATCATACGAACTTCTAACTGAATAGAGCCAATAATTGTCAGAGTTCCTTAGTTGTATGCATAAAAAACGTGAGATTTTATGCATCACGCTTCCTTTATCATTTACAATTAATCTTAGAGGAGTGCCTTCTTTGTGAATCTTAGGGAGACCATAAGCGGTGGGGGCCCTTGCATCTCTCTGGAGTAGTGGAGTATGTAAAGTGAAATAGATGAAAATGGGGATAAACTTTATGTCAGCTTCACTTTTAATCATGCAAACTGTGTGAAGTATTGCAATTCTTTTGATTTATAAGTCAAATTGGGCACGCTTATTTTAATCAATAGACTCCAAAAGTGTATGCTCCTATAAGCGCTTAACTCGGAGGATAACCAAATAAGACGGATGAAAAAAAGTCTACATTTACGCCCTAAGGATAAATCTAGATGGGAAGCGAAATTTCGAGCATTTAGTTCTGGTGACTTTCTGGCCCCATGGCCAAACGTCTACTTTTAACATAGGTATTGATGCCACTTAAAAATGATAGTAGTCATTATGAGGCATCCAAAAACATTACAAATTTATAACTAAATCGTAGCCAATTTAAATATATTGATAAAGAATAAAACTGAAAGAATGAGACTCCGAAAAACTCGCTAAAATAAATAAAGAAAAATAAATGTAATATGTATAACTAGGCGTTGGTGGAACACGATGGTAATGGTCTTTCGAAAGTTTAGTTAATTGAGACAAAAAAACATAAAGTTTGAGCATACAAATGTTGTTGGGGAGATTTTAATTTTGTATTAAATTGCATGATGAAGAGATTCGAAGGTCAATTTTAACTGGAAGACGAAGGCTTATTCTCGCTGTAATCCAGCCGTTCGGCCTTAATACGGCGTTCAGTACAACGGTTAGAGTACAACGGGAATCAGCCGTCATCTTCTGGTTAGATCGACTTTCGAATATTTTCATCATGTACTTTCATATAAAACGAAAATCTATTCAAAAATATTAGCTTAAGAGATTCATCGAAACCCACTTATTTTTGGTATCTACATATTAATGTTGCAATCGTGATAGTGCTTGTAAAGGCCAAGTTCTCAGTGAAACTTTTTATAAGCAATAATCAATGGCTCAGTAAATTTTGAGATATATAAGGAAATGAAAAAGGTTTTTGGAATCTCCATCCAAAGAACAAGTACAAGTGAGGAAATAAAATCTATAAATCAGTACATTCAAAACATATTACTTGATTGAGACACATGGTAACCAAGGGATCGTGTTCTTTGTGCAATAGACGAATAGTATCATCAATAAGCAAATTTGACTTCAAAAGGCCGGTTGAATCCCCCAAGTCTTGTGCATTTATACCAGGCAGATTAGAAGCGGCTGGTGACTAAAATAAGATGCAGAATATGCAAAGGAATAATTAAAACCCGCAAAACGAATTCGGCCCGAAGAATAGCAAAACAAAACAAATTTTCTTTGAAATGGTACATTTGTGATGGCGTAATAAGAAAAGCAGCTATTTCAAATATAAATATCTGGGTATTGGAGTCATAAGACATGTAAGCAGGTAATTAAACATTTATTAGCGAACTGGTATATATAATTACCCATAATTGGAATGTAGCATATTGGTTGGATGGCCGAATAAAGATGCTCGGCTAAATGATTGGAGTTTTAACGACTAATAGCTAGTCTACAAGTATTGAGAAGGTTTTTGAGACTACCAGTAAATCATATATATGAGATGTGTTCACTCTATTTTGTTTAAGGTGTTAAAAGACTGGTGGTTGAATTTTTCCGCAATAATATGAATAGGTCTTACGGTCCCATCAAGTTTTACATAGCTTTGCCTCTCAAAGGTATTTTAATCTTAGCGTGTCTTACTAAACTAAAATGCCGAAATTGTTCTTGATCAGCCAAATTCACTGTGAAAGTTAAAGTGATTTGTAAAGCCGGTTTGCAATGATAGTTGCAGCTTAAACGAAATAGAGTGAACACATCTCATATATCTGATTTACTGGTAGTCTCGAAAGCTTACTCGATAAAGAAAAAGTAATGTCGTCGATTGCTATAGAAAATATGAATTTACTTCATCGACAATCCCAACACAGAATATGATATAGAAAATGCCTGACCCTGCTTGAAATTAACATCTGCCCTGTGAACTAATGGCACTCGTGGCAATATAGAGGAGTGGTTAATGCGTCGAGCTTACACGCTGCATTGTCATGATTCGACTCCCGCTAGGAGTGTTGTTGAGACCTGGGTGAGGTAGAACACCTCTTGGAAAAGCAAGTCTATATGAAATTCACTGGAAAACGTCGGCTCTGCTTATACCATTGTACCATTATACCATTATACCATTGCCAGTCCTTCATCACCTTAAGCGAAATAGGGTAAACACATCTCATACATCTACAAGTAACTAAATAAGCCTGCAGTGGGACGGAACTGAACTTAAATACAAGGCATGACTCTATAAACTACTACTAATGACATGTTTATAGGTTAAATATTGGCTTGCTATTAAGCTACGGACTATTATTCTAGTGATCAGAAGGATGAACGTCTGCACAATGGATAGTAATTGATGTATTGCAAATATTTTCACGAAAGCATCTATCAAAACATATGAGGAGTCATGACAAGCGGTTCGTTGCCAATTCCTGGCAAAACGATTTTACATATGGTTCACATAGCAAAATTTACATTTAAAAATAGCTAAAATCAACAGTGCTTTGAACTACTCGTTAGTGGATAGCCACTAAAAATTAAATTGGCTGACAAGCATTGCACTCGGGTAAAATGCATTTGTACCTAGGCTAAGGTCAGAAAATTTTAGACAAAAAATTACGATTAAATACATTAACGAGCTATATCCTAATTGATTTAGATTGATTGAGTTACACATGAGACTATTAAATAATTAATTATAATCTCAAGAACCTTCCTATAGTGGCCTGCAAGACACATGTAACTTATAGCTTGACACTGAGGCATAATTTTGTCGAATATTTTCATTTGAGCTTTCCAGAATTCTTTTTAATTAAATAAAAACATTACTCAAAGAAGAAGCCGATATTTTGCAAATAGATAAAATTGAATATATACCACTCACTAATAAGTTCGGGCCTCCCGTCAGTTTCACTAGCCCCGTTCGATCGGCAATACTAGCCAGGGGCAACTGGGAATTGGTCAATTGCATTTCGGCTTCTACATCGTCAGCCTCTTGACCCGTTCCGCCACTGTTCTTGACAGAGCCTCCAACCAGGCCCTCTCTAGGCAGTCCTGAGCGAAGATGGCCGACTTCATACCCAGCCCCGGGCTCCGGGGAAAGCCTGGTGGTCGGCATCATGGAGACGGGGGTAGTGGCTGCAATTCTAGGCAGACAAATGAGGCGAGGTGGACGGAAAGCGAATCTCACCATCGTCTCGTCGATTCCTGGCTGCCGAGAAAGACAGCACCACAGGCGCTTGGCTGGCAAGGAGAATGGGTCGCGAGTAGCACTGGGGAGGAGAATAGTAGTGGTATGAAATATGAGGCAGTAATGACACCAGATTAGCTATTTTACAATGCTAATACAAGCAGTTGTGGCATGAGAAATGACGCCATAAGGGAGGCTAGATAAACAAATAGAAAACATTTTGTTCGGTTTTTCGAGACTAGGTTTTCTTCATCACCTTGAACGAAATATGATCAACATAGCTCATATAAATGAAAAATTTGCCTGTGGCACTCCGCGCATACAGAAGAAATTTTAAGATCTGAAGGTAGAAAGTGCCATAGAGGCAAAGACATGAAGAAGGAAATTCCTACACTCATTGTAAAGACGACATTCAGCCAACTATTTTTCGCAATAAAAACATCAGGTTGGCAAACAAAGGTAAGCACATGTGAAA